TATATATACACACACACACACAAACTGTTATTAAATTAATATTTAAACTCATCCACTAACATATGTAAAATAAGAAACTTGCACAAATATACAATATTTGGCATAAAATGTTGTCTTTGTTATGTATTACATATACATGCCAAGTACCTTTAAACTAAATATTACAAGCTTATATGTATATTTACAAAGACTCACTACTATTACTTAAAGAAGGAGAGAGTCAATTTGTTTTTCACTAAATAAAATGTAATCATTACCAAAATTTAAATCTGGCTTATTTGTAATTTTCATTTCAAACCAACTAAAAACTTAACTGGTAAGAAGAAATCATACCAAACAATCAGAGACAGACATGTCAAATAATTTTAAAGCTCTTCTAAACTGTTATTAAATTAATATTTAAACTCATCCACTAACATATGTAAAATACAAAATCGCACAAATATACAATATTTGGCATAAAATGTTGTATTTGTTATGTATTACATATACATGCCAAGTACCTTTAAACTAAATATTACAAGCTTATATGTATATTTACAAAGACTCACTACTATTACTTAAAGAAGGAGAGAGTCAGTTTGTTTTTCACTAAATAAAAGTAATCATTACCAAAATTTAAATCTGGCTTATATGTAATTTTCATTTCAAACCAACTAAAAACTTAACTGGTAAGAAGAAATCATACCAAACAATCAGAGACAGACATGTCAAATAATTTTAAAGCTCTTCTAAACAAAGGTCCTAAAGTAATAGAAAATGGGATGATAAACCATCTCAGTTGTTCATATCTTATTAGCATATATTATACTATTTAACACACTTCAGTCTTTAATATATTTCTGCAAGTTATCATGGATAAAAAAAAAAAAAGTCAAAATTTATCACTTGAAAAAAAAATCTATATCTATTTTTTGAAATTCAAATGTAAATTTAAATATATATTTGCAACTAGTTGAATAGTAACTTATTAATCCAAATGTTATTTTTATTTCCAGACTTTCACCCATAACCTTTTTTGTGCGATATGCTGACATAACACCATGAGCTCTCATTCTCAAGTAATACCAACAGTTTTGAGATTATATTTTTGTAGGGAGTGTTCACATTTGTATAAACATAGTTGTAGGGAAGGATTTTGACCTAAGGGTCAATGTATTTGATGACATTATTATATGTATGCCAGTAAGTAATTAGTATCTAGTTATTAAAAAATAAAAGTTACTAAATAATAATTAGTCTTGGATGATCATATAGGCTACTAACAATGACAACAACTATCTGAATTCCTACTTAATTTTAAAAATGCAAATTACAAATACATTATTACACTTTGGAGTGGATCTTGAACTATAGTTCTAGAAAAGCAGAAGCTACTGATTTCAAACAAGAAGCTGAATTTACATTAAATTCTAGTATTGTGAAACTCAGTATAATTATATAAAGTTCTGCAACAATACATTATACAGGAACAATGGTGGAAGCATTAAGTCTCACACAAACTGGAGAGGGAAAGTATCCCAGTTAATTCTGATAGACAGCTTAGTAGCCTGAGGGAACTAGAGCATGCTAAGAAGCCACTATAAAAGAAAAGAAAAAAAAATAGGTGTAAAATGAAGAGAGAGAGAGGAAGAGTAAAATAATAATCCAAGTAATCAAGTCATTTACCATTGTAGATCCCAGACGATTTCACCCTATATGAAAAGTGTATTCAAGAAAAGTCAGAGAAAGAACTCTCTGAGCAGGTAAAGAAAAACAAAACAAAAAAAATCACAGGTCAGGTCATATGACCCACAAAAGGACAAAACTGGTATGAGAGGTAAAATTGTGGGGAATTTCACTCATCTATCTAACTTGAAATTTAGCATACAAAGTATATTGTATATTCAATGATTCTGGCTTTAATGTGGTTAAAACAAGTTAACCATCCATGAAGAAATTGAAATAATTCCCTTCACTATGAAGACGAGCTGCATAGGGTGAAACTACATCACACAGTTAACACTATTTTGTATCACGACTCTAGGCAAAAGTATGAAACTAAAAATTAGTGTCTATGTAAAAAAAGAAAAAAGGATGTATTGAAATACAGAAAATATAAACCCAAATGTAGTAATGAAATACTAGTTTAACCTTCAAGATCAATCAAGTGTTTTGTCCCCAATTAATGAAAACTGTTAAACTTACCCACTACTCAGTTAAAACATGTATTCAATTCCTCTGCTGAAATCTACTTGTGTTAAAAAAATTAACAAAGAGCATGCAGCAATTCTTCTCAAAATAAGATAGAAAACCATCTTTCTGTTGAATTTTTTTTTGCCTGAACTTAATGTTACAAGGAAGGAAATTAAATATTTATAACATTAAGGCATTATACAAATGATTATATTTCCACTACAACAGTTAGTTACCTTAAGCACTTGTTCACAGCAACAATTATCAAATAACTAGCACTAATTACAGATTGTTTGCTTTTGTTCTTTAAATAACAAGGTATAAAATATTTTGTCTTTAGAATTGCATTATTCTGGAATTAGTAGATCAATGTACATGTAAAATGCATGAAGCCTAATTACAGTCAAATTGCTTTATAACTGTTACATTTTCCTGTTGCTTTAAAACTGTTATCCTCTGAAGAAACTCAAAATATTCTTTTTAAGTTTCTATTAAAATGCTTTCTGAAGAACAAAAGTTGAGTGTGCAAATAATTAAAAAACCTTACCTGTTGCATTTTCTCAAAATCCAAACATGGCCGCTGGATGTTTGCTCCCCCACCTCCCCCACTGGCATGCATATGTCTATGTTTCTTACGAGGAGATAAATTACGAGGGGAAACAGAACATACTTCAAAAGAAGGGATGTTGGCAGAGGCTGAATGAAAGACTTTTGGTGGGGGTGAAAGAGATCTACTAGGTTTGTGCACATTAGCAGGAGGGGAAGCACAGAACTCCACAGGAGTCGATATACACACAACGTCCCTTAATTCATCATCTGAGGATGCAGAGTTTTCTCCACCACTAAATCGATTAGCTTGTGACCACTTCCTTTTTTCAGGGTATATATTGTTCCGTGTGATTACATTTCCACCACAGTTAATAACTTCTAACTCCTCCTCAGAGCTGTGATGGTCAAAGTTATGATCACTGTCACTTGGCAGTGCAGAATCTAGTGCTGGTTCTGGCAGAGGACTGTCCATGTCGGTCTTAGAAGCACATAAAAGCTGTTGTTGAACCTCTCTACTAGTGTCCACCTGTTCACCCATCAGGGCTCGAGGGCTTCTGCCTGTCCTCAGTTTTCTTTTCCTGCCTTCCATCTGAACATTTTCCATAACTGTAAAAACATATCAATTGAATAATAACAAAAAAAAAACTGTTGAAACAATTTGCAAGTTCCTTTTAATTGTATTTGTTTTTAAATTGATTTATTATCTGCATTGTTTAGGACTTTGCATAAATCCAGATAATTAAACAATAATAGCAGTGTTACACAAAAGAAATTTTAATTATGCTTTTTTATGTAGCTAAATAAAAGTTTACTTACAAATAGTCACTGAATGATCATGAACATGTACACAGCTACACAATCCAAGTCTATGAACCTGTACATGTGTATCCCACTGATAAAACACCGTGCATGTTTTTAGTCATGCACACACAACTCACAACCATATTTGGTCCACTACATAGTTCCAGTAATCTTTCTCATGCACATTTTTATTAATGTTCTTCATATAAAGACAATAGTAAGCATTTATTTCATTTTACTTTGCTTTAGACTAAACAAAGATTCTGAAGCTTTTATTTGCCAAAGGTTTATAAACATTTACACTTGTCTTCCCTCTTTCTTTGGGTAACTAAGATAAATTCAAAACATTAACTTTGAAAAAGGGCTGAAGCTTGTCTGGGATCAGACTGCTTGAAAATATATATATAAAAATAAAAACTATCAACACCTTACCTGAACAGAAGTTTCTGTTTCTTGATGTCAATAAAAAAAAAAATTTGCTTTTCTGATACAATAAGCTGCATTTGATTTTAAATAAAAAATTTACATACATTCATTATCATAATTCATAAACCACGAAATATACAATTATTAACGTTCTGTGCAATGTTAAAAAGATGTAATCCAAATGGCTCTAGAGGTTCTTACAAGTTACATGTATATTAAAGCTAATATACATGTAAGAGTTAGTGACTTATCAATCAATACCAGACTCTGACTCACACTTCTGCAATTCTTCTGCTTCTGCCCCTTCATCATCAGATTCTGTTCCGGAATCCCGTTCATCATCAGCATGTGGCTGAAAGAAAGAGCTCTGTTATTAATTCAACATAAAATCTGATTTCTATTACTAGAGTTTGGGAAATTCTTTTTTATAAATGTTATGAATATCACTAGCAAACACGAAAAGGAGTGATGATTTACTTAAGCAAAAATCACTGAACTTAAGTTAGGTTTAACAATAACACACACACACACACATATATATTCCTGCTTCTATTTTAAATACACTTCCAAATCAGTACCATACTATTGACATTTATATGTGAAAAAAGTGTTTGTTTTTTATTGATCACAGTTGGTATAGGGAGAACTATATGGCATTCAGAGGGCAAACACTAACCAATTTCCTCACATACCCTAACAACCTTCACCTTCATGAGCAGGATCATAAAAAATGTATTTAAAAAATGTACTGTCTAGTGGACTAGACCTAAACAGACAAAATTATTTAAAATAAATATACAGTTTACTTGTAAAACTAACACAAAACCTCATAATGACCAGTCTTAAGAATTAACAAGTTTAAAATTCAATATGAAATCAATTCCACTTCTACTACACCATATTTAAAAAAAGAAAAAAAGTGTTTAATGAACCCCAGTTTGACTACACTTGAATTAATCCAGTGTCATCACTATTCAAAATATTGTTAATGAACTTAGAAAGGTGTACATTTGTTAAAGAAAAAAAAGCTCAAAGGGTTTCTAATAAAAATAAAACTACTACATATATGTTTGCTTTTTGAATGATAACACTTATCACCAGAAAATATGGTACTTCACAATATCCTATAAAAACAAATTCTTATGTAGCTTTAACCTTTAACATTAAGACATTTTTTTATACATGTTACAAGAGACCTGTATGGAATATAACTTAACAGAATCTACTACAATAACAAATCCTACACAAAAAACTAATCATGGAAGAATGGTTTACATGTTAGATGGTAACTACATGTACAGAAGTACACATTTTATAGTTGCCCCCAACCCACCTTTTTTCCCCCCTTTTAAGATCTGTTAAGAGTATGATCAGAGTAAACCAGGTGAAGGAAGAAAAGTTTGCAAGGTACAATTAAAAAGTCATCAGTGGATAACAATGGCTGTGTTTAAAGTTACTTTATTGAGAAGTAAGGCAGTTAATTGTACATGAGAGTCAGACCTTCATTAAGTGTTTTACAATATTTGAGTCACACATCAACTCCCTACACCTATCTTGTTTGTTTTTTTAAAAACACAATTTAAGACTTCAACCTTTTTTAGCTTCTTTCCTACTTGACAAAGTAATGATGATGAAAAAGTGGAACTTCCACATTTTCAAATACAAAATGGAAAAACCCAGCCAATTCAAAAGAATTTCTAGAAATCATTGCACATGCATGGATTACAGTAAAATATTCTCAAGTAAGATCACAACAGGGATACATTATATTGTAGCAACAGTACAATGTACTTTACATTTTGAGATAACTGACTTTTTAGGTTTTTTCAAATATTCAATTTTCTACTTACCTAATGAAATTAAATTTTAAAAATATATTCTAGTTCTAAGCTTATTCAAACATTGGATTATAAATAACTAAGAGATCGAGGATCAATGAAGTATACAAATGTGATTCACCATTGCCATATTTATCGATAATTATAATCATAAATAAAACTAAAATTAAAAAGTGTTTATAACAGTGGGATTTAATAACATAGACTGGCAGGGAACAAGTATAATCCTCTAATAATTGGCCCAATAATGAAAGGGTCATTGTCAGGAAATTTAAATTATATACATTAATATGAAACTCTTTACATATTTTGGGCCTCTTTATGATGTAAACTCTTCCAAAAATACACAACTATAATAGATGCTTTTTTCCAGAAAAAAAACAACACACACACACACAAATTTACTTTTAAACTTTATTTCTTCTATTATATAACTTTCATTAAAATATTAAAAACATGGACATTGAAAAGTCATTTGTATATTAGCCTGTTTATAATGTCAACATGAATTACCTACATAAAAATTACAAATTACAAAATGATGGGCAAGTTATTTAAAAATTTTAATAATACTAATAATTCACGATTCCCTATATCCCTAGTAGTAGTATGTTAAGCTGGGAAATTAACTATCAATTTATTACATAAAATCATCAATTAGTGTCATGAAAAATAATAGATTAATCAAAATGACTATTAATGTCATGAAAATAATTAAATATCAACTAATCAAACTTAGTGTTTCCAATTATTACCATTTTAGATTATTCCAACTATCCAAGTGACCAAAATATTGCCATTATGTTTTGTCATTTTTCTATCTTCAATTGATTCAAGGTTATTCAGCTTAAATTGATGAGCAACACAACTCACAAAAAATAATTTTCTGATTATTACTATTTTTGATTATTCTAATTATTGATGACTCATGAGCCCTATGACTATATAATTATCAAGTTTTACTAATCACCCAACTTTAATGGCATGAAGTTTAATCGTAATAGTCAAAAATTGATCATTAGTCAAATGACTAAGTATTATGATTTTCCATAATTGATTATAGCCAATTACTATGTTATTTTGGTGGATATTTTGTTATATTTTAGTTTCTTGACATTTTATGTATTAAATCAATCATAATTAAGACCGGTACTCCCATTAATTAACTGTCACCAAACCCAGCCATGCTGAGCTTTTGTTAGTAAAGACCTGAAAGAAAACCTCTGAGATTATTCTACCTAGAATGTAACTAAGGAGCATATTGATTGAAATCATTCAGTACAAAATGAAAACCAATGATTTCAATAAGATATTTATGCCACAAATTTATGTTTCTCTGCTATAAATCTACCCTAGATAAATAGAAAATACCATAGAAATACGATTAATTTGCAATGTTTGTATTTCTAATTATGGAAGAAAACAATGTTATAACTGATGGTCAATTGCTTCTGATAAGCCAATCATCAACATAATGAAAAAATGTTCAATTTATTCTTGGCAGCTATTAGCATTAACACCATTTTATTTAACACATGGGAAGTTAGTAATTTATATGGATATTCTAACATTCTTTAAATAGACTAACATCAGAGAGTTACCATTTACTAAACAGTAATAACTCAAAACTGTTGTGCTCATCTGAATATTTTCCCTATCAGAAAATACTATACATGTTTTCAAAACATGTACTTATCAAACTATGTAATAGTAACAGCAAGTGGTTCCATGCAAAAGTTCAATTAAGAATCAAATTTTAAATACACCGATATGCATTAAGTACAACTTGAGTTTGAAACTCAAACTGTTACATCTGCTGAGACCAAAATTTTTAAACTACTGATATACTATTGCTTGCTACTTATACTATCTTTTTATGATAGCTGAATAATAAAGAAAACAGTTAAATATTTATAAAAATATGAATATTCCATCCCAATGGTCACCTTTGCTGAAGTAATACTGTTATTCGAGGAATAATGTAATTCACTTTTCTGTTCTCACATAATCCCTTCATCAAATAAACAATATTCTCGGAAAGCAGCAGTAACTGCATTTTACAAAGATGTTCAAAATTCCTTTACCATATAAATAATACCGTTGGATGGAATTTTCTCTAAAGATCATTCTCACATAATAATGTCACCATACAAGTCAATACTCTTGGAATCCAGAAGTAACAGCATTATCTCAGGAACCTGCTGTTAATTCTCAGATTATACCTTCACCAAATGGACAATACTCTTGGAATGCAGAAGTAACAGGATTACCCGAGGGACATATTCACCAGTAACAGCTTTAAGATCATACTCACATGATCCCTTCACCATATATTAATCTTGGAATTAAGCAAAAAGGTATTATCTGAGGACTACATTCACATGATCCCTTTACCACGAAAGCAATAAATTTCAAACACAACTTAAGCTTCCCTGCAATATTGTAAAAAGATATATTTTCCCATGGTCAGGAATGAATTATCAACAGAATCATGAACTATATAATCAACAGTACAAATGTTTGGTAAACAGAATAAAGGTGCCCATAAAACAATTATTTTTTGGTCAGAAATATGTATATAGCTGTTGTAATCAGTGCTAATCTTTTGTTTGCTATATTTCTGCTGACAATAAGACCAGTATTTACATTTGTAGTATGCATTCAAATGAATTACTTTTGAAGTTATCCAAACATACAAAGCTTTGTTAAGAAATAAATCTATGAAATATCGAAAGTTTCAGTAGTCCATGCTTGAATGAGTACTTTTTCAAAACAATCACAATTTAAGCTAAGCCTACCCTCGTGCACATCTTTAACTCACTGAATGTAAGACCTAAACATAATTCTCTGTACATGCTAGGACTGTATAACAATTTAATTTCTCATAGATCAATTATCACCTAATCTCCAATCACCACTAACCCTTGGCTACAAATTTACTTACAATTTACATGTACTAAACCTGATATTATTCTAAGGTTCCTTGCCAATTCCACTTAGTATAGTTGTAATGATATTCTATATTTGTGGGTTCTCTTAAGTTATCAGGTGAAAATAATTCAACATCCAGTTCAGTCTCAGTCACAAACTAATTTATTTCTTCCTTTAACATTATTACGAGGATAAGTTGAACAATGCTGTAGATTGTTGTAAGTTGTTTAGGCCTACAAATTACATTAAACTTGTCAAACAACAGTACTAGGACTAATGTACAATTAATCCTTTTACTTGTTATCATATACAAGTGTTCCTTATTCTATTGCTGATCAGATGGCAACCCTTATATGGGTAATTTGTCATTTATCTTGAAAAGAAATAGATTTTTTTCATAACATCTTTAGTTTTGTGCATTTATACTTAACTATGAAGTTCTATTTTCACAAACAATGTTCATACCAAGTGTCTCATTTGTTATATGCTGCACTTTCTACACTTCCAATTTATATGTACATCCATACTTACTACACAGTAATTTACTGTATTTTCCTCCATACCTATAACTGGTTTCTGTTAT